CCAAACAGCTTCCTGTGTCACATACTGGGGAGATAACTCCTTCAGAGCATGGTGGTACATGACTGTAACTCTTCTGCTAGGGAGGTAGAAACCAGAGGATGGCTGGAGATTGCTGGCCAGGAAATGTAGTCTAATCAGGAAGAGCCAGGTCCTAGAGAAACAGACCATTTCAGAAAACAAAATAAAAGGTACATGAGATTAAAATATAATTATGCACATACACACATACACACATATATATGCTTCACACACATACATACTCACACACTCACTTCACATACATTCTTTCACACACTTCCATATACTACACATACACAATCACACATCCACTTTACATACACTCTCACACACAGTCACACACACACACAATTTTCCATGTGACCTATGTTCAGAGCCATCTTCTGAAACTCTGGGATTACCCAGATATCCTCTGTCAGTGTCCCCCTCCCACTCTTGGCCTCTCTTTTTCAGTTTTATGGAGCCCCCTGGACTTTACCTATTTTTATTTCTGAACAGCGTGAATACGAGGAAGAAGGTAGATGTAGCAACAGCTGTAAGAACCCTAAGTCTTCATTTCTAGATACCTCTCCTCATTTCTCTTGTGACTCTAGCTAGCTAAAGAATATTTGATACTTAACTTAGAGCTACACATGTGGAGTGGAGGTCCCCAACTCCAGGATCAAGTTGTACTACTACTGTGAACAAGCTTCTCTGTCTCTGAACAGAGCAGCTGGTCTGAACCCATCCCAAACAGCTTCCTCTCTGTCCCTGTCTCTCTATCCTTCTCTCTGTCTCTGTCTGACTCTCTGTCTATGTGTCTCTCTCTCTCTCTCTCTCTCTCTCTCTCTCTCTCTCTCTCTGTCTCTCTCTCTCTTGTCTCTCTACCCCTCCCTCCATCTCTGGATGCCAGGTATCTTATCAATACCACAAACACATTGAATGTCCTTAGGATCAGAAACCTTTATCTCTGTTGACCAGGACTCCCTACAGGCAGAATACCAACACAAAGCCAGAGCAGTTTACATATGATCTTGTAGTTTAACAGTATCATTTGTCATTTTTAAAAATCATAAATATCTATTTCTGCTTTTATATGTATTATTTGCTTAGCATTATGGGTAGTTCCTGAATAAATGTCTTTATAAAGGAAAATCAGCATTATTTTTCATCCCTGCCTTGCAAGTACAAGATTTGCTCACATATCTCAGTCATTTGCTCAAAAAACTGCCATTACTCTGCACTGTTACTTAAATAGCTTGTGATCTTGAAGTAATTTAAAAAGTTAGTGTGGTAATAAAGTAGTATTAAAGTAGCCTTGTTTTCTCTCCTGTCCTTTTCCCTTCCCATTCAGTCAGCATCTAGGTACTTAATAAATACACAAGCTGCCATCACAGTTCTGTTATGGGACCATAGAACTCCTTTGTTCTTTGTCATAGTATACTTTAGCACTGTATTTATCTGGGTCTCCTCTGTGCCTCTGGCGCTGTCCATAGCCCAAGCGGGCACATTTCATCTCAATTAGAAGCAGAAGAATGCAAGGCAGGGGGATGTCAGAGGTTACAGCCATTTAATAGGTTGGAATTCAAATGAAAATTGGAAAACAATCCAAGACATCTATAGAGGAGGAGAACTGAGGAAACTCAATTAGGAAAACCTTAGACTTTCTTCCTCTGGGGACTTGGTTTCTTTATGCTGTTGTAGTGGCCTATATGGTTATAAATAAATAGAGAAGCAAAGGGTTTATTGTTTCTATTGTAAAGAAAGCTAAGTTGATTGTCACGATCCAATGCCTTTGTATATGTGCTCTCCCGATGATCTTATCACACAAAGCTGATCATGGAAGTATGGATTGTCTGTGATTCACCATCACTGCTCACAGAAAAAAAGCTATTTGGTGAGATTCAACATGAATAAATGAAAGAAAACAGAAGTTTAGTGAATATTTTCCCACGGTAAGCTTCAGTAAGCATGTCATGATAGATACAGATGGGCTTCTTATGTCTCAGCTTATGAACCAGGGGAGCAGCTCCACACCCAGACCTGATCCATCTTGCTTTGTAGCACGTTTCGCTTTCATCACCTAGAATGTGTTTGACCCAGGAAATAAATCCAGTTATTTGGCAAGTAGCCCTTGCGTGGTGTGTGCAGCTATTTGCAGGACCTTCGTTACCCCAGTAAATATCAAAGCACTATGCAAGTCAGAAGCACTCTCTTGAGGAAAGAGCATTGGAGTGTCTGCTTTTGTTATTTTACTGGGAAGTTTTTTGAGGCTTTTACTCCTTCTGGGATTCTAAGTATGAAATTCAGATCAGTGAGGATATAGCTTTGCTTGCAGCTTTCTTATCTGATAGGAGAGACATAGAAAATTCTCCCAAAAATAGTAACAGCGGCGTTTTTGTGGTCTAGGGGTCAGGAGTCCACCCCAGTGCAACTACTGAATTCATTTCAGTCCAGGGAATCTTTTAGGAGAAAAGGCTTTTCTAAGCAGAACTGGAATTCCCAGGCTACATGCTAGCGGACCCAAACACTGTTTTGCTGAGTTAGAGAATTGCAGACCTGTGTAGTAAATCGGTCTAGAAATTGGATGAAGGTACAGCTAATATAGACAGCACATCACATGAAGGCATTCTCAACTCAAAAGCCAAAGGTTATGTTCTGACATTTCATTTAAGAACTCTATAATTTTCAACCCTGAAGATACCGTGCTGTAGATATATTTTGACTTAATTAAAATTATACCCCTTGCAACCTGTAACAAAACTATCAGCATCATCACTGACAATCATGCTTTTTCTTACCACAACTGGTACATTTTTCACTGAGTTAAATAATTAAAATTGAGAAAGGAATGATTCAAAGGTAGAAAAGACAGATCCCTGGCTAAGAGTGCTACTGCTCTTACAGAGAACACAGATTTCAACCCCCAGCCCCTACAGCAGGTAGTTCACACCCACCTGTAACTCCAGTTCCAGGAGATCTGAAGCCCTATAGATGGCACTGACACCTGCGTGTGTAAACTCCTGCAAGCACACACACATACAGATAAATAAAAAGTCATGATATTTTTAAGATGAAAAGAATGATTCCAAGGCTACGACTGGTGAGTTTAGTTGGTATCACTCTGATTGACAACTTGTAGTATATTTAAATCTTTGTATTTTCCCTAATAAATATTACTCACCATATAAAGATGATTTCTGGTAACATCCTGAGAGCATCTACTCCTGATATATGCTTTCTGGAAGATAGTAGGCCAATTACATTTAACAATGCACATAATTTGGCAAGCTGTTTCCTTTCCTCACTAATACTTACAAATGTTAGGTATGGGAATATGTATTTATAATCCCAGAGCTTGAATAAACCAGCGAGATTTGCCTGGGACTTGCTGTCCAACCATTCTGGAATTTCTCAGACAAATGAGAGATTTTGTCTTAAAACAAAACAAAACAAAATCATTCCCTAGTTCACTTGGAGAACACAAACACATACACACAATACACATGCTTTAGCCTCACAAATTGAACCCAAGAAATTATTTTAAGAGTTGCAAAATATATAGGTAGATAATACTTTCCATAATATGAGTTTTATTATTGAAAAAATATTTCTTATATAAATAGTGGCATCTCAATTTAATCTTGTTTTATGCATGCATTGATCTCTGTCGCTGGTACTGTGACAAATTCTTATGGTAAGTAGCTGTGCAGCTGAGGCTATGACATCAGCCACTGCATCTCTTTTGAATATCCCACCTGTCCTGATAGGAACTCTTCATTATCTATTTCAACCTGTGTCTACATAAATGCTCTCTGTCTTCCCAGTGGCAACACTTAATATACACTTTTGCAAGTATTTCAAGTCAAATTGTATCCCAAACTTAGACAAAAGCCCAATAAGACTGTAGATCATAGAGGATTGAAGGAATGGAGGGTTAGGTTTTCTGTGGGACTGGTCCCTGAAGCTTTTATAGTCGCTTTCTGTAGTTTGAGGATTTAATGCATCCTAGCAGCATCCTGACTAACTTTGAAATGTCCTAAGCTGGGCCCTAGTTTCCCATAAAGTCCCATCGTTGCTCACGACACTGTTCCCAGCTTGGCTACTGGGGTGATGGTTGTGGTGTGACATAAGAAAGCAGTTTCATCTCTTTGATGTCTGCGTCTGTTTCTTGCTTTTCTATTTGGCTTTTGTTTCAACTATGAAGTAAGAAAGCCAGGGGAAAGCAGCTTAGGCAAATTTTTGCACTGAGTTTAAAACGATTGCCCATAAGTCTTCTCAGAGTGGTTATAGATTTATTTAGAGTCTTCAGTTAAGTCCTTGTGTGTTGATATGGCTTCTTCCCTGACTGCTGCAGAATAGCTGTGACATTTGATTTTTCAGAAAACAGCATGGTGCAGGCTTACATCTTTGAAGGGAAAATGTTTTCCATTCTAACAGACAAGAAAACATTTGAAGGGTCTATTTCATTCCTGTAATGAATAGATAAAATAATTTACCTGTGAATAGTGTTTGTTTTGTATGAAATCAATTCAGCATCACCTCAAATAGAGAGATTAGCTTGCAAGAGACCACTTACTTTGATTCTTGACCCACTGTCCTTTCATTCCTTTATGATTTTGTCTCTTGTGGTGTGTGTGTGTGTGTGCGCATGACAGCCCCAATGCAAAACCTACTTTCTTCATCTACCCTCATTTCCTTATGTGCTTGTGGAGGGACTATGTATACATCCATATAAGTACATATGGATCTTACACGTCTATCTAAGAAATTCAAAGCAAGTATAATTATGTTTTACTGATAAAAGAACTATTCAGTTAAGTTCTGCAGAAAATCATTTCCTTATGTAAAGGGTGACATCTCAATTTAATCTCATATTATGCATATGTTAATCTTCTCCAATATGCCAAGAATATTTGTGCTGCTCTCAGGAATTCTGGGTGACTCACTCCACTGCCTTCCTTTGCTTGAGCCATCATGTGCTCTGTGCTTTTTTTTCCTAGGAGTCATCACTGCTGCTGACATTCTTGATCGAGAGACAACAGCTTCATACTGGCTGACAGTGTATGCCACAGACCGGGGCGTGGTCCCTCTCTATTCCACCATTGAGGTCTACATAGAAGTAGAAGATGTGAACGACAATGCCCCACTGACCTCAGAGCCCATCTATTATCCCGTTGTCATGGAAAATTCTCCAAAGGATGTGTCTGTCATTCAGATACAAGCTGAAGATCCTGACTCTGGTTCCAATGAAAAACTGACCTATAGGATTACAAGTGGAAACCCACAGAACTTTTTTGCCATCAATATCAAAACAGGTAAGGGCACGCTTGGATGCTTTGAAATTGGCTGTCCATTTTTAATGGGTTATCTGGCCCTTGCTTTGCTGGCTTATCTGTTTTGTTGTCTAGAAGACAGAATCTTTTTTTCTGGGTGTAGTTTTTGACAAGATGGATATTTTTCCTGTCTACTTGAAGTGTTTTAATCTCACCTATAACTGAGGTGAACTGACCTAGTAAGAATCAAAGGCATTACAGAAGGTCTCAAGTTTGCCTCATCCATTGTAAAATATGGTCCTGGACCACTGCAATGGTCAACTGCCTCCTCTCTATTTTGAGAACTGGATGGCTGGCTTTTGCTGGGTACTTTATGTGAACTGTCATTATAAGGTCTCTACCACTTTCTTGTTTAGCCTCATTCCCAGCTTGCTATAAATGAACCCCCTAAAGGCTTAAACCTTAAGATTTTCTATGCTAGCACTAGGTTAGCTAAGATCAGCTCACAGATTTTTATCCCCATATTATCTATCGGTGTTCTAAAGAACTCCCCATGTCTATGTCTGACTCTTTACAAAAAAAAAAAGAAGAAGAAAAAATTTAATTTTCTGATATTTTGCTTAAAAGGTTTCTAAAGGTTATAATAAGAATTTAATTCATTAAGCACATATCAGAAATGCATATTGTTCAAGAAAATGTGACCTGACCCAGAGGCACGCTGGAGCATAGCATTGTGGACTTTGTGGCATTGACCTTGGCATGCTACTGCTTTCCTGTGATGTGCAACTTTTAGACCTGAACAGAGACATTAAGCTCTTAGGGATAATGTGATGGATGAGGCTTTAATTCATTGAAATGTAGAATAATGTAATTGATGGTGCTCTGAGTTGATGTTGGTCGGCATTATGCTTGGTTGATGCTTGTTAGTGTGGACAGACTTTTCTCAGGAACATTGGTGGAATTGGTAATTATTCGTCTTTACTTGTCAAAGTAAAAATGTGCAGTGGACAATACGCACATAGTACAATGCATATAATAAAACTTAAAGGGGTTTTCTGTAAGCCTAGTTCTGAGTCAGTGAATTTTTAAGCATACTTAAGTGCTCTCAAAAGTATCCAATCAGCACTTGACTTCTGTTTCATTATAAATGAAAGGTGGTGATCAGCTGGCAGTGTCTGATCAGAGGCATACTTGTGCTAGAAGGAGAGGACTCAGACAAAGGACTCAGGCCCAGCAGCTGAGACACACTAAGCATAGAATGACCCCATGTACCTGATGATTACACCCTTGTACTGTGCCAAGACCCTCTGGTCTACTTTGTGCTCTCACATAGTATTATAAAATGTGGAGAGAATGGAGGTATTGAAATACTTTTTATATTTAATAGAGAGAAAGGAAATGGAGTGAGGAGGGAGAAAAACAAAGGGAATGTCATTAAATAAGTTGAGTATGTGGCATCCAATGCCGCACACTCACATTCTGCTACTCCATTGTGATCTTGCTGCCATTCTGGTCATCAGAGGACCATCCGATACCTTGCTTTTGAATGAAAGAATTCTATAAAGAGGCAAGTTCAGCTGCTGCTGGCCACCATGAGGAGAGCAACAATACCAACCAACCACAGCTCCCAGGGTCTAAACCACCAGCCTGGGAGCACTTAGGGAGGGATCCAGGGCTTCAGCTGAATATGTAAGAGTGGAGGGCCCTGCTGGGCATAGGTGGAAGATGAGATCCTTGACCTCATGAAGGCTGGATGCCCCAGGGGGTGGTAATTTTGAGGGTGGGGAGGTGGGAGTGGGGGGGTAGGTAGGGGTTACATCCACAGATAAGAAGGAGGAGGAGTGAGGGGATAGGGGGTTCCTGGGTGGGTGGGGGATGGGGTAAGTGAACAACATATGAAATGTAAATAAAACATCAATAAAAAAAAAGAAAATGGAAAACAACTCTTTAAGGGCAGATCTTTAGGCTACTTTGGCCATTCATCCTGGCCTAATGGGCCCCAGGCCAGTGAGAGACTTTGAATTAGAAATAAAAAAGACAGTGTTACTGAAAAGTAGCACTCAAGATGCTCCTCGTGCCTCCACATGTACATGGCCACATGCACACATGCACACACACACGCACACACACTCACATACATGTATATGTATACTTGTGTACACACACACACACACACACATTCTTGCAAAAAGAGTAGCCGTCATGGTTAAGAATATGATGTAAGGAGCTTACACTAGACCTTGTGCACATTGTGCTTACTTTATGCACATGAATTTTCAGAAAGCCCTACATTATCATAATGTGGCTTCTATTGCATAATAAGAGCCTTAATTGTATTCATAATTTCTCTGTCTTTGCCACAGAGTTTTAAAATGTGCCCAGAATGACATCTTCATCAAAGTTGTCCAATTGTCTCTAATAAACGAGCAGCACGTCTTGGTTTTCAGACACAATATAAGAAAACAATGCATTTTGTTTATTTGGTTGTTAAGGTCATTGCACTTATTATTTTTATCACAAAGTTCAATAACCATACAGTTTGAGCTTACAACACACTAGAAGTAATAGGAAAGTAGCAGAACAGTCGACACTGTGATCTAGTGACAGTATGAACATGTAACTGATGTACAGGAGCTTTAGTGAATATGGAGTTGTCAAGAGTGATGGTCATGCATGAATCGCTTTATGTTTAGGAGCCTGGGTTTAAAATACTTGCCCCAGACTTCATAATTGTGAAATTCTGTGGACCACCACAGAGAACACCTAAGAAGTAAATCAGACCTGGTATTACAAGCTTTGTGTCCTCGGGAAGTTCCTGATTCCCTTTTGAAGCTCAGTTTTCATGAGTGTGATGATTAGCTTTGCCAACTTGATACAGCTAAAGCAATCACCTGGAAGAAAGAGACTAAATCAAGGCTTGCCACCTTCAAGATGGCCTACAGCCATGTTTGTAGGAGAGTGTCTTAATTAGATTAATTGATGTGGAAATACCTAGCCCACTATGGATGGCACCATTCCCTAGCAGGAGATCCTGAACTGTGTAAGAGTAGGGAAACTGAGCTGAGCAAAAGCAAGCAAACGGGCATGTATGTATTCATTTCTCCCTGTTCTTGACTGTAGATGCAATGTGAACAAAGGTCTCAAGCTCCTCCCACTGTGAGCTAAAACTGTGAACTAAAATAAATTCATTCTTCTTTAAGTTCCTTTTTGCAATGGTGTTTTATCACAGCAACAAAAATCAAGCTAGAGCAGTGAGTAATGATTGCTCTAAGGAATTTAGGAGTTGTCCTGAGGACTTACCTCACTAACCTAGCACTGCCAAATCACAGGAGAAATGATGGTGCCCTGTCTGCTTTATGCTAATGGCATGGATATACTTTAATGTCTTTAAGCCTAGGTTTCTTATCTGGAAAGTGATAACTTTGCTTACAGCACAGTTATTACTCATGGACAAGGAAAATCACAGTGCACGTGGAGGATGCTAGTAAATTACATAGCTCTTTAAGAAATGTCTTTTTATTATGACTACATCTTTTTGAGTGTGGGCATAGATGGGTAGGTATCTATGTGTTTATGTGTTGTGTTGGTGATGGGTTATATTTGTATATGACCCTTCGGAGGCCAGAGGCCAAACACAAGTGTTATTCTTCAGATACAGTTCACCTTTGGTTCTGTTTTGTTTTGGAGAGGGTCTGTCAACAGCAGGAAGCTTACCAAGAACAGCCCAGCTTGCCAGTGAGCCTCAGGCATGCATCTCTCTCCACCACACCAAGCTGGTATTACAAGCCCATGCTATCAGCTCTGCTTTTTATGTGAGAGCTAGGGATTGAACCCATCTCCTCTCAGGATTGTAGAATAAGTGTTTTGCTCACTGAACTATTTGTCCAGGTCAGACTTTGTCTTTCATTTCTGTATTACAGGAGATAAAGCTCACTGAAGCTTGTGAGCTCTTGGTTCAGGGTATTGTTCTTGCTGTCTAGAGAACCTGGTTGGCTCCTTGATAGTTGCTTTAATCTTTGGCATTTCTTTTGTTCTAAGAAAGTCATTTGTGTGGAATAGTGGCAAAGAAACATTGATGCAATGTTTTTCAGCAGTGAAGTTAATCCCAGAATGTTGTAGATTCTAGTAAATTAACTCTTTGGTCTCTCTATGGTAGAAATGAAATTTATAGTTTTGCTGTGTTTTGGAAATGTGCTAAAGATTTAAGTGGTTAACGCAAATATGAATTGTGCCAGTGTTCTAGTTCCACAGTCTGTGGCACATAATGGGTACCACTGCCTTCCAAACTGAGAGTGTTTCTCTGTTGAGTCAAAAGGCTCATTTGAGTTTTGCTCTACCAGATCTGGAGCCACATAGAATAAGTGGGTTGTGGACTTTCTTCAAGAACTTTTTGCAGGTTAGGCAGAGAAATAAAAGCTGTCAAGCTGGAAGGTCCTCTTTGGCCTATACCCTGCATGAGTTCCAGACAGAGCAGAAGAGGTCACTCACATCCAGCTCCTTCTTGGTGCTGCACAATTGTGGTGAACAGGCTCACAAGAAGAGACACTATGCATTCTTCTAGAGAGATGCAAGCTGGCCACTCGGCACTCATCCTGACAAAATTAGGAAGGAATGGGGGAAACTTTTCTTCATATCTCAGAACATTTGCTTTATTTCTGTGTGTTGTGTTCACTCTAATTAGTGTAGGCTCAGCAGTCTAACCTTAGGTAGAGCTCTCAATATACATTTTACATATTGTTGCTATCAGTCTGTGTTCCTCACCAGACAAAGGACTGTGTAAGGTAGAAGCTGAATGTGTCTATCTGGGAGACACTCTGTCATAAGGAAGGACATTTAAAGGGACTTTGCATCAGTGTCTGCTGTGTAGTACTGGGGCTTTCCATTCAGTCTCTTGAAGTCCATTTTTGGTACTACTGTTGACCTGGACCTCATGTTGGTGGATAGGAACATAAGAGAAGATGGTTTCTGAATGAAGAAAATTTAGTCTCCTGAGAAGGTCATCATACCTCAAACAAGGCAACTGTGTAAAAAAAACCTGCATA